AAAGTTGTAAATAAAACAAAACTGTCTGATTATATCTATTTCAATCTTTGATCTATTTTATATTTTGCCTAGCCAATAACCATGCGTTGCTCGGGTATTTATTTATAGGGGGGAAATGTCTAACCCAAATGTAATTTCTAATGTTGGATTTTCCTCCTTACCAGAGGGAGCCCCCTTGTGGAGTACTGTGAAGCCATTACCATGGCAACTCCACTGAGCTGCACAGTAGAAGCCATTTTACGGCAATACAGTAAAAGCCATTTTAAGACCCAACAGGCTGTATCTTAACAGAATACACACCCCGAGGGGTTTTAGGGGTGTCTTACCCCCACAATATTTGTTTCCAGAGAGTAAGTCATCTGTGTACTAAGTTTGGTTGAAATTGCTCCAGGCGTTCCAGAGTTATGCTGGAACATACACACATACAGCCCTTTTTATAGAGAGAGATTATTATAGTCTTTATAGAGGAATAAAATAATTGAAACGGAAATAGGCTGGTCACATAGTAAGAAGAACTGACGGCAGGTGGACCAAAGCTGTCATAGATTGAATCCCACTTGATCAAATACATCCACGAAAGACCCCTAAAACAAGATGGATCAATAACATCAGCAAGTAATGCGGGCCCAATCGACAAAAGAAAGCTCAGGACCATATTGGTTGGAAACCTGTGTAAGAGGCCTTCATCCTGCAGTGGTCAGACAATGGCTAAAACAATGATGATGAAGATTGTTGTTGTTGATGATAATGGAGATGTACATAATAAACATGTGTCATGTTTTTCAAGATAATAAAGTGGTCTTTTTACCTCAGGATTTTCATCTTTTTTCTTTTTGGTAGCAGGTCCCTGAGTTGACTCTTCAGCAGGTTTCTTTATCTCCACTTTATTTTCTGTCTGAGTTGGAACTTTAGGTTGAATGATGATGACCTGAGAATCAACAGAGAGGGGAAAATAAGACGTGAAAATAAACATTATGTGCATAGCTAAAGGAAAAGAAGCAATCCCCAATGTTGACAATTTCCAGATGTCAACACCTTTATCTCACAGAATCCCCTAGCCAGAATTAAAGTTATTAATTCTGGCTAGGGAAACTGCAAAGCCTTTAAGCTGAGGCCTGCTCTGTCAATAAAACATGTAAAAATTCATAAGTTGGAACAAGATTTGAATGTCAGGTCAGCATCCTATAAAAGTATCCTTTGAGTTGAGGTGACAATTTCATCTATGTAAGCAAATATGTCCAACACATCTTCCTATTTTCCCTACAACAGAAACCCTGGGGGCGGGAGGGGATTCAGGAGTGGTGAAGGGGTAGAATGGCTGCCTTAAGCATCTTCAACTCTTAAACCACCATCACTACAATCTAACAGCAAAAAAGGGGTCACAATTACACTACCACATCTCCTGGGCTGAACACTCTGCATCCTTGACCTACATAAAGTTGTTGAAAAAACATTTAGACTTATGCAACAGTATGTCATCAATCTGTAGATAATTGTTTAATCTATAATACATCAGTTTATATCCTTCAGCACCTATCAGGAATCAAGAAAGGACCAAAAGTAAAGGTTTCTAGGGAGCGGTGCTCATCCCCCTTTCAAAGCCGAAGAGCCAGTGCTGTCCAAAGACGTCTCCGTGGTCAATTTGACGGGCATGACTAAACACCGAAGGTGCATGGAACGCTGTTACCTTCCCACCACGTTCCTATTTTTCTACTTGCATTTTTACATGCTTTCGAACTGCTAAGTTGGCAGAAGCTGGGACAAGTAATGGGAGCTCGCTCCGTTATGCGGTGCTAGGGATTCGAACCGCCAACCTTTCTGATCGACAAGCTCAGCGTCTTAGCCACCGCGTCCCATATTGAAAATAAAGCTATGGACATTCTCTCTGGATTCTTAACAGTTACATTTGGCTCCGTTGTTTTCATCTGTTTCCAGTTAATTTTAAGGGCCAAATTTGCTTCGACAGTGTCTGATTACCATTATGGTCACTTAATTGGTTTGCAATGAAAGATGTTTCTGGACACTTGGCTACTTCTGATTACCACAACTGAAGGCCAATAACAATTATGCCAATTCTACAAAAGCTCTCTTGCTTAGCTTGCAAGCTGGCTAACCCTTGACCTCTTATATCGCCCAGTTCTGGGATATATGAATGAATCCCTTCACGACTGCCAAGTGAGGTCAAGTGATAAGATTTGATTATGAACCCCATTTACTGAGACATACAAGATTCTCACTTTATTCATCCGGGCAGTGACTGTACTAAGGAGAAGCTCAGATCAGCCGCCCTGATAGTGTATTAAGTTTAGTCGTTTGTAATGCCTGCAGTTCCCTTAATGAAACCTACCTTGCTGTCAGCACTGATGAGAAGTGGCTGCACTTTAATGCTGTCATTAACCACCGAGACAGCAGCGCTGGTGTTGATGGGCATTGCATTATTGGGAGATGTTGAGATAATGGCATATGCTACCCCAGCACTATTCAGGGATGAGGAGAGGGCCGCCGTCTCTGCGACACTTTGCGATTGGTTGCTGGACGTCTGTACATGGCTAACGGTATTGTTGGCAGTGGGGAGGGCAGGAGCTGGGTTCTTGATGCTGACCACTGTTGCCTTCTGAAACGTTGGAGGTTGCTTGGAAGGTTGATCTCGGCATGGAGAAATTGGGAGGCTGTCTGGGATCAGAGTCTTTGGCCTAACCTGCAGGAAAGAGAAGGGGAAAAAAAAACTCTTCTACATAACTCCGGAGGAAGCCATTTCAATCATCCTCTTTTAATGACCCCACAATCCCTTGCGGGGTGGAATCTGGGCAACTGAATGGAGTGGGCTGTTTACTGGCCGGATGCCCTTACTGTCACCAATGCGGAGGTGTTTTGTTTTTTTCCAATAGATATATTCTCAGTGTGCCCAGAGAGAGAAATATCAGCCTCTGTCTAGAATCGAACTGACAGCCTCCTGGTTATGAAGTGAGAGCTCCATCTCTGGGCCACCACACCACAGGAGGAAGCCATTTCAATGCCATTTAACAAAAAAGTAGACTTGGGGCTTTTTTCAAATCATTTTTGTAAGAATGTGCACAGTGTAACTACTATTTTGAGACAAGCCAGGAGGAAAATACAGTAGAGAGAGGTTTGGTCTTTCAAACAGTGGTTTATTTACAAGGCCTATATACCGTGTTTCCCTGAAAATAAGACAGGGTCTTCTTTTCTTTTGCCCCACGAAATATGGCCTTGGGCTTATTATAGAGGGAGGGCTTATTGTTTTGGGGTTGCTGGGCAGCTTCTCCCTTGCGAACTGGCTCCCGAAGAGTCAGGCATAGCAGACTCGGGGGGGGGGGGAACCTCCCTCACCTCATTGCTGCTTCACCCCTGAGGCTATGCCCGGCTCTTTGGGAGTTTGCTCACAAGGGAGCAGCCACCTGGCAACTCCCCCCTCCAGCCAGGCAGAACATCACTCCCCAACCTAGCGGTATCCCGAAGGTGCCAAGCAACGTGAGCGCCTCCCCCCCCCCCAGCTCTCATGGCTTGGCTCCTTCGGGATGCCACTAGGTCGGTGAGCAGTGCTCTGCCTGGCTAGAGGGGTGTGTATATCCAGGGAGGTTATTTTCGGGGGTGGGCTTATATTTTTGCCCATGCAAAAAATGTGGCAAGGCGTTATTTCAGGACAGGTCATATTTTTGGGGAAACACAGTATATGTATGTATGTATGTGTGTGTGTGTATGTATGTATATATGTATGTATGTATGTATGTATGTATGTGTGTGTGTATGTATGTATATATGTATGTATGTGTGTGTGTGTGTGCATATATATATATATATATATATATATATATATA